CATTCTTAGTAAAAACATAGAATTTACCATTGAATCTTTACTACAGTTAAACTAATTAAGAATTCCAAATTGTATTTTATAACCAATTTACCTTTCATCACAATAAGAAAATTTCATATCCAGGCTGTGTCTACTGAGAAAAGTCTTGCTATCTAGAGGAATCTCAATATTGGATGGATGAGGAATAGGTTCACAAATCAGCACCAAGCATGTCATGGGTGGTTTCTTATATCCACACTGAGGCTGATTACTGTTGGTATCATATACATGAATATGACCTGTGCAGTGAAGTACCTGTATGTGAATAAGAAATCAGCAATTATTAAAATTACACTGTTACAAAAAATGAAAATGCAGAGCTAGCTGAGCCAACTTGGCAAGTAAGCTTTAATAAATTTACTGTCATTAGGGAATTAAGTATATTTTTGAAAATCAACAGTATTTTTCCCCCAAGACTACCTTAGATTACTCTTTCATATGGTGACTGCAATTGGAAGGTTGTCTTGCTCTAATGACCATTTAACACTGCACAAAGAAATGTTACAGTGATGAGTAAGTTCAATTGGGTCAGGGACATAGCTCAGCAGCACCACACCTGCCTGGCAGACGTTAAGGTTGTGAGTTTGATTCCTGGTACCAGAAAACAAAGGGTTCCAAACCCTGGAAGGCAGCAAGCCCACTGATTAATTTAGCCTGGTACCCCAATCTCACTATTCATATCAATCTAAGTTTGTGTCTCAAACTAGAAAAATACTATGAATTTGTAAGGGTATACATAAATCAGTTAAAAGTGCAAATATTAAATCTGCAAACAAGGGAGGAACTATACATGTATTTTCTGCTCATAATTCTAAAGATATTTTTATATTAATAACATCTAAAGCAGTGATGGTGAACCTTTAGAGCTTTCAATGATACAAATGGTACACTGTAGAATGCATGCCATAGGTTCACTGCCACTAGTCTAAAATGTATGAATTTATCTATAAATTAAGTGCATCATCATAAATTGTCATTACCTTCCATGTTGCAGACTTTATGTTCATAGTTCGCCCTCGGCTAGTTAAGGTACACTTCATTCTGAGAAAAAAACTTCGCTGTGTGTTTTGTTCTTTACCCTTTTTCACAGGGCCTAATGAAAGCAGGAAATATAATTTAAAACGTAACTAAGTTTTGTTACAGTAAGAGTAGCAAAGTACCCAGCACCATACACTATTCAATTAACTCTCAGCATCAACACAGAAATTCAGATACCTTTCACTTACTCCAGCACATCCATCCAAAAGAACTGAGACTCTCCCCTCAGTAATGGTGTTTCTAAGAATACAGTGATTCCCTGAGTTGGTGGGAGGAAACTCCATATTTGGGTTGATAATCAATGGTTTCAAAATAGTAAGCTACTTTGTCTGACTACTTTGTAGTCAAACTACAAGGAAATGTGAAAATGGTGCGTTTGACCTGCGCCTGTCAGTGTATACAGATGCTCCTTAAAATAACTTTGACAAATCCTTTCTGTCCTTAACAGATGTGATTAAGTTTATCTCAAGTAACAATGTGTATATAGAGACTTTTAAAAAAGCAACATTGTTTTAATGGCAAATAGCATTCTTATATATCTGATTTTTCCTTGAATCAAGAAGCAGGCTGCTTTGCTACTATGAAAGAAAAAAGCAGAAAGAATGACTTATCAAAGGTATCGAAAGAGGGGCTGGGAACATAGCAGAGTGTATAAGCGCTGGGTAGTACACTTGCTTAGTATGCATTAAGATCTTGGGTTCAATCTCTAGGGTTGAGGGGAATAAGTATTACAGAAAACAAAGTCAAATCTAGACATTCCCATTCCTCTTAATTAAAAAAATGAGACTTTAGCAAATCTTGATTTTTTTTTCTTCATTGGCCAGTCTGATTCAAAACAAATATAAAAATATTCAATATTCAAGACCTGAATAGAAAGAGGAATATTCAGACATACTGCCTTTCTTAAAGAAGTTAAACGTGTGATAGATATGACGTAACTCAGAGCAAGTACTCAAGATCTGTAAGACTACTTAAGAAAGATTAGCAGACAACTTCTAGTCAGGGAGAATCAAGATGGCCTTCTCAGAAAAAATTAGACATTAGAATTTCAGTAGGTAGAGATGGATTACAAGGGTATTCTAGAAGAAGGAAAAGAACAATAACAAAAAGCAGTAGGGGAAAAAAGTAGGATGTGTTTGGGAAATAGTAGATAGCACAGTTTATCTGCAATATAAAGTGCACGCAGAAGACTGATAAGACAATTTTTTTTTTAAAAAAAGCTAGGGTCATTACTGTGGAGGGCCTCAGATGCCCAAGTGAAGAGTTCAGCCTAAATAAATAACATGGGACTTTTTAAGATGGTCTGAGTTGGGAAGCACAACTGGGAATTTAAACATTAACTTGGCAGCAATATATATTATGTATGTTAGAATTTGAATACAAGATAGTAATTGAGAGACTGAGGCATTTTAAATGGTAGAAGTAGAAACAAAGGTGGTCCAACAAATGAACCCATATATGGTTGATTAAAATGCTACAATCTTGAGGAAGATGAGCTGTAACTCATACTCATATTTAATAAACAACTAGGAAGGTTGACTGTGGTATAGAGGTGGCACTGGAGACCCACATGCAAACTACTTGAGGTACTTTCAGACCTTCATAATCTAAGCTTGAACTGAATGATCTTTGGAATCCCAGGGCCCTTCGATGAAGAGCAGGCAAATAAATTAAAAACTAAGATCACTGAAAAACACTACCATTTTCTTCATAGAAAAATACTTTAACTGTATTTTCAGTGTCCCAAAATAGGCTATATTTTGTAATTTATGAAAAAGCATCTTTTTAGGTGTTAAATAAAAGAACAGAGTATAAACACATCACTGGCTCTTTGTATATCATTAAAATGTGAAGCTTTACAACCCCCACCCTATTTCTAAAACTGAAAATCTATGTTTTGAAAAACAAAACATCAAAAATTCATTAACTACATTAGGAATGATTTAAAAAATATTCCTTCTGTGCTTCATAAAAGTACATTTAGTTCAAAACATACATTTAAATCATAGTAAGTAGATTGTATCTGATTTAGAAAAACACATTAATCTCATTACCAAATCAAAACAAGACGTTCTGATATTCATCTATTTATAGTCCAGCTTCAAGGAAGCACTCAACAGTTAATACAAACTTCAGGTCTGAAGGCCAGAACCCATATACTGTATTGAGCAACATGTGTTAACGATCTACTTAGGTCACTGTTCAGAGCATATTTACCTGTATTTTTTAGCATAGAATTCCAAAAAGTATGTATGCATTTTTTCCAACTTCATAGTAAAAACAATACATGAAATTAAAAAGCAAGAATGGGCTCCTACTAATGTAATGGTTTTTTAAACGCAGTAGAATACAGCAAGAGTTCAAGAATATAAGAAGAGATTTGAAATACCAAGTGTGGATGCTGAAGCCAGTTTACATGAGTTCAGACCAATCTGCCATTTGCTAACCAAGTAATACAGAACAAGTTTCTCAGTGACTCAGTAAACAGAAACTGTAACAGTAACTTTACAGGGTTGTTGTGAGCAGCACAGAACTTGAAGATACAAAATGAAGAAAGAGGTATTCTGACACTCTGTATTCCCTCAATAGAGGTTACCTGTTACTATAAGTGAGATAAACAGGGAAACTTAAAAAATATTTCTGTCGTGATTTCGATCCCCGGTACCGATAAAAAGGAAAAAGACAAAAAAAAAAAAAAAATTTCTGAAGCAAATGTACACACTTAAATGGCAGGTGGCAAAGATACTGCAAAGTATAGTAACAAATTTTCATTTGGTAACTTTTAGGATTATGATCAGTATATTCAACATAAGAAGGTGCAACTATGAAAAGCTTTAATGGTTCAGTTACTGTAATTCAAAAGGTATTTGTCAAAAATTTTGGAATATTTTATCATTTGTAGTTAACTATTTCTCAGTTATAACTTTTACCGTCTTTGTTAATTTACAACTCTTCACCTTTTTATTTTTCCATTTATTTTATCTTTTTGTGTGTAGACGATTATTTATGAAATGAGGTAGGTTCTAAGACATTTTTCAGTGCTTTTCTGAAATTCCTGGAAAGTAGAATAGTCTTAAAATTAAATGTAAAATGACATTTTGCCTTACATAAGTACAGCAACAAAAGTTTTAAAATTATTAATAGTATCTGATTAAGTAAAACTCCATCACATTAAATAAAATAGACTTCTCACCATTTCTGTGTGTAAGCATTTCTTTCATTTCCTCATGGTCACACGGATGAGTAAAATCAAACACACTGTGTCCAGTTAGTTCAAACTGTAAATATATTTTTAAAAATTAGATCTATATCATAAAATTATAAAGGTATCCAAAAGGGCTCTTAATATGTGGATGTGTTACCTGAGTTAACCCCATGTATTTGTTCACATTATCAGAAATGTAAATCATGTCACCATCATCAGTAAGCACCATAACAAAGCCATCCAGGGCCTTCAAATAAAAGCAGTTCATCTGTGCCTTCATTTCATCTTCAATATCCAGATCACCTGAAAAGGCACAAGAGGAAGGTAATTAAGATGTTATGCTTAAGTGAGGTAATATTTAGATTTGTTTGTATAGTTTTCTCTCATATACTTTAATCTGCAGCATCTACTTTTTCTTTATATTTTACTTTTCCCCAGTCACTTATGTTAACACAGAATAGTTAAAGCCAGAGCTGGGAAGACTAAAATTAGATTTTTCTAGCTAGTTGCTTTCCATAATTATTACAACAATGCAGGCAAATTACTGAGAAATAAAAGGATTGTGTTTTGACTGAAAGATAGGTAAAGAAGGAGTGGGGGAATTTCTGAATGAAACTTTCAAAACAGGTAATAAAAGAATGTCATCTAAAACAAAAACCAAAGTATGGTGACCACTGCTAAAAGTAATTTTTAATCATCTTCAATTTCTAATTTTCAGGCCTATTATTCTTACATAAAACAACTTACCAGCATCCAGAAGTTTTCTTACACGCAGATAACTGATGGTGAGCCTCATAACAGAAGCCTTATCAAGATGTGAGCTCACATTGTGGGGAAGTGGCAACTGATGAGCAAGCTCATAAAAAACTTCAGACTCTTTGCTTCGCCGAGATCTGGCAGCATCTCTAGACTTTTCTTTTCGACGTTCAGAACTTATCCTACTTAACAAAAAAAAAAAAAAAAAAAAGAGGAAGAAAGAGACCAAAAGATGTGTTAATTGGTTGAATAAAATTAATTTTACATTTTTCTGCTTACCACACAATTAAAAGAGGTCATATAATTAATTATGAGACTTATCTATAGTCAGTAAACACTGTTATACAAGGTGGCTATACAAATTTTGAATTACTGCAAAACAAGTCTAAGATCAAGCTTTAAACCTATTCAGTTAGGTGGTTGGGCTGCTTTCTGTGACCTCTACAAGCTACAGGCTACATGGGAAAGATCCTAGGAGACCCTCAAGCTATGCAATGGTCTTCTTGGAGTTGGAAGATGGCAGATCAATAAGCAGCAAAGTAAAAAGCCTCTCTGAGAGAAACAGCTCAGATGGTGGAATATAGCAGCCTGGAGAAGACCAGATGAAAGGAGATGAATCCTTTCAATCCAGGAACAAACTAAAATGAAGAAAAAAAAAAAAAAAAACATGGACGAAAAGCTGTAGCCAGACGCACTCTCACTGGACCCCACTATGTAGGAAACGCCACTGGAATCTGAAGACTCATGGTCATGGTGAAGATGGAGTTTGGCAGGCTTAAGGGTCTGCGGGGTGGGGGGGGGGGCAGGAATGGTCACGGAGGGGAGTGGCACACTGGAGATCTGCACCACCTTGTGCTGAGTGTGGGGAATTCAGTTCTCCTGTAGGAGTGAGCAATTGGGCAACATTTTGGAGTCGGGTAGGATAAGCCCAGAATCAGAACTGCAGCGGCTTTAGACAGCTATGCCTAGTGTAGAGCAGATTGTTAAGAATTGCTTGGATTGAGTTCTGCCCCTGTCCGTGATCCAGTAGCCAAGGATGAGGTTTCCCTGAAGCTATCCCTAACTGGCCCCATCTGTGAGGCACACATTAATGTGGTGAAGGCTCCCAGTGGTTGACCAACTCAGCAGACTGGCAAGGGCAGCAGTCCCTAGCCAGAAGCTTCAGAGTAATTGTAACCAAAATAGGAAGTGCTTGGGATCCAACTATCTACTTGTCTGGAAGAAACCAGAAACATGACAAGAGGAAGAAACAAAAGGAAGTCTCCAGCCTCCAACCCAAACAGTACTGGCCCAGGAGGGGTAAACACAGAAGAGACGGGGGGTTGCACACCTGCAAGAAGCAGCATCTGACAAAAAGAAATATCTTCATGACATTATAAGAAAACTAAAAATAGAGATTCTAATACAAGTAAAGGAAGATACAAGAAAAATAAATGCTAAGCACCTCTCAAGAAGACACAGATGGAAGAATGGAGGAGCACAGAAAAAGGAGGGAAACTCCTTTTTTCCTCCTTTTAAAATGAAGAATATTAAAAAATATATAGAATACATGAAACAGATTCAAAGACTTTACCAGGAAATTAAAAACTCCATTGAAAGCTGGCAAAACTGCTTGAAAGAAACTAAAGATAGACTATCAAACCTTGAAGACAGGTTTGCAACGTGTGATCATGAAAGATCTCAAATAAGGAACTAGGAAGTAACAATACAAAGACTAGAAGATGACGAGATCTATAATTTAAGAATAAAAAATGTGAGTGAAGAAGCATGGGTAAACAAAAATGAAATACAAAGGCTATTTACAGAAATAATTAAGACTTCCCAAGCTTAGGAAAAGGAAATGATATTCAGATATATGAGGCATACAGAACTCCAGCCAGCTATAACCAAAATAGATCTACACTCAGACTAATTTCTCAACACAAACCATCAAGAGCTTACAGTGAAGTATTCCAAGCCCTGAAAGAAAACCTCCAACCCAGATTGATGTATCCTGAAAAACTATCAGAATTAATGGAGAAACCAAGATGCTTCCATGACAAAGAGGAATTAATAGGGCGAGTTCGTGATCACCAATTCAACCCTACAAAAAATACTGAGTGAAGTCTAGAGAGACCATGCAAACTCAGAAAAAGAAAAAAAAAAAAACTGACCAGAAAAAAAGACCATGGCTTCAGAAACAGTAGCAGAGGGGGGCTCACTGAATGGGGTAGACACTGGAATGAAGGGGGGAAAGTAGACAGACAATGGCAGAAAAATAGGATGGCAGAGGTAAGGCAGAGAAGGTGGGTTAAAATCGCTATCATGAATGGTCTTGATATATTAATAAAAACAGGTAGAGTGGATCAGGAGATAGGTTCCATCAAGATGCTCAATATAATTAACGTGAAAAAGGGTTTATGGACTGAAAGTCAAAGATGAGAAAATAAAGCTCTGTGTGACAGAACCAGAAAAAAATGGGGTAGCTCACCTTTCAGCTGCAGATTGGTTGGAAAGACGTAACACCTTTATACAATGGAGAACTACTTAGCTATAAGGAAGGAAAACCTTGAGGCTGTTATAGTAAATGAGATCAAGCTCAGGGGTAAGAAGGTTCAGAACTACCTAGGTAAATAGCAGGTTGCCTCCCTAATCTTAAAAACTAAAGGGGTTAGTGGGATACCAAATGTACAGTGTACCCTGTGAAAGTTGAAAGGGAAAGAAACTGTCTAAAAAGTGAAGGCAGAAGACACTGTTAATCTTATATCACAATTCGAAACCCATACTGTTTTCACGGCTCTGTTTAGTTTGGTCATATTCTGTTCCAGTTTGTCTACTTGTACTAGATTGGGGCATAGACAGCTATTCCAAAGATAGCAGGATATACTACGGTAACCATTTTTAATTTCCTTTTAACTTAAGCTGAAGCCCTGCATTGCTTTCATGTCTTGTCTTGACTGATTTTATTTGAATGTGTTACGTTTGATAGTATCAAGTCTGAGAGTATAGGTAACTACTCTGAAGACAGTAAGATTCACTATGATACGCATTCTGGTTTGACTGTTACCCTCTTTTGAAGTCCTATAATGTCTCCAATGTTTTTTTATTGATTTTGTTCTGTACTATGTTCAATTTTATTGCATGTGATGATATGGGCAATTCTATTGAAGATAACAAGAGACATCATGGTAACCATTATAGATCACCTTGTATTGTTTTAAGTCATGTACTATTGTCCATCCTTTTGTTTTGAATGACCCCATTTTTCTTCTCATTTGGTTTTATTCTTTTCAAAATAAAATTTTTTTAAAAACCTGTTCAGTTAGTTAACATTCAAGTTGCAAACTTTCACAGATATGAATGGACCTCCTGTTACAAACATTCAGTTTGCAACATGCAAGTTACAGAAGTAGCTCACATCAATGCCAGACACTGTCACAGTTGTGCTGCTGTGTGCTTACTGTACACTGCGATAGTATAGAGTAGTACAGTGCTCACAGCCCAGGATGTCTAGAAGCAAGAGAAAAAGCAGTGATGATATAGAGGGGGCCACTAGGAAGTGCAAGGCAATTTGTCTCAAAGGAGTGTAAGACTCACTTTTGGCATGGGACTTGTTCATAAGTTAGAGACTTACTGTATTTAGGAAACTGAAGCAAGATCCCAAGTTCCATGCCATCTGAGCAACTTGGTGAAACCCTGCCTTAAAATTTTAAGGGCAGGGGTCATAACTAGCTCAGTGGCAACGCACTGGCCTAACATATCCAATACCCTGGCCAACTATCACGAACACAAAAACCTCTCCAAAGCATATGTGTCTTATTACCTGGTATATCAAACTGGAGAGGATGTTTACATTTTTCTAACCTTAAAGTAACCTGCATACCAAGAGTGTCACTCAAAAGTAGTCTCAACAAGAAAAGCCATGATTAGAGACTACCTAAAATGGTAAACATAGTAACTTGAAAATAGGAGCAATTAAACAGATAGAATAGTAATTGTTGAATAGTAATATTTATAACTGATTTGTGATACAGTGTTCTTTTTGACCCTACTATTGCCTCAAAGAACAATATTGACCACAAGCTATAGGAATTTGTGTTAGCTGTAACAAACTACTGTTTTGAGGACCTCATCTAATAATGGTAAAATGTAATTACCAAATAAATGCAGGAATAATGGAAGGAAGAAAGATGTGGCACAATACCAAGAATTTCAAAGGACAAGTTAGCAAATAAACATGTCAATATAATGATACACCTTTAAAGAACTCTTTCAACAATAATATCAGTCAGATTTTCATCAGTGGTACCAGGCAAAACAGTCTTGTTTGCCTAACTACCCAGCAACATCTGGTCCTTTGACCCAGTTCAAGGTAAAGCTAAATCTGGCTGTCCTTAGCTGCTTCCTAACTAACTACTGTTTATTAAAGCCTCTAGTGAACCAAACACTATCCTGTATAAGTGTTTAGTTCTCTCATGACAAACAGTTTCACTGTTTTTAAGAATGTGAATCCTAGGATTCTGCCAGTTAAAAACAGCAATTTGCACGCAGGTGTTCTAGGTCTTCTTCTTCCACCGTTCTATTTCTTAATGGAGAATGCTCCCTCTACTCAACTGATCTCTGGTGCCAACTCAATCCTGTTAATCAGTTATTTAATAAATGGTGAAAAAAGCCCTTACAATTTATTGAGCATTAGCAGTATAACAGGGAGTTATTTCACATCCTCCTTGTATTCTGCATCTCTGCCTCAACATGCTCCTCCCTTTTAAGGGATCTGCAAAGCTGAAAGGTACAATCACAAAAGCAACTTTCTTTAGTAACAGTTTTCTGAGTACATGCTTTTGCTATGTTGTATAAAAACATGAAAATACCTAACTACATTTTGACAACAGCAATATTACATTTAAGCACTTAATAACATAAATGTTTGCTATGTAAAAATGAAACAGTCAATAATCTGCATTTGTACTTCTTAGGTGCCTTAGAATTGCCTCATTGTTCTCACTGATTAAATATTTTCCATTTGAATTTAAACATAACAAAACAGTGTTCAAAAACTATTTTAATATATATTGGAGTTTGACATAACATTCCTGGGGCCCACAGCAAGTGGAAATGCAGCAAATCCCCTTGGGCCCTACTATGTGCTGTTTCCTTCACCTATCCCCCTTCTTAAATTGGGAAGTAAGAGGCAATATGCCCATAACACAACTCTATCTGGTTCAAGTAAAACCATCAAAAATAAAAATTAAAAAAGGGGGGAATGATCAATGACCTTGTGATAAATCTAAGAATTTGTCAAGTGCTCCAATTAGTATGGGCATTCAGAATTTTATATGTGACTTGAATCAGGCTGTCTTTTGTCTAAACTACTCAACCAGTCTAGGTTACTGAAAAATGACACTATAATCTTCATAATACCTGTTATGTATTTTTAAGCAACTGATCCAACTAACCATGTCCTACCTTTCAAAATACTTGAATTGTTTAGAACTTTGAAGCTAACAATGATTGTCCAAGATGTGGCAATAAGATTTAAAATAAATCCATTAGAAATGTGATGATGTCAGATAAAATGTTTCAAGGTGAATACTATATGTTTAAACTGGTGTAGACTGAGAATGAGAATTTGACCATGAGTATGAAGTTTTGAAAGGAACAGATTAAACCTGTATTAGACAAAGGAGCTGAAAATCATTATGTCTGTAACTACATAATCAATCTAGACAAAAGGCAAACATGGAACCTTAGACAAAAGTTCTGCCCCCCCCAACCTTCCAGTGCTGAATATTGGTCCCTAGGGCCTCACAATTCCAAGCACTCTTTTTTACCATCTAGTTACAACCCAACACTGAAATACAAGTTCTGGAAAAGACATTTGTATGAAGTCCTTCACATGACTTTATAAACGTTTCCAAATTTAAAGAGAATGTGGCAGGACCCTTCCCTGGAAGAGAAAGTGTGGGGCCGGCTGGACCCTCCCAAAGGAAAGTGGTGGAGAGCCTTCTCAAAATCAAAAACAATGACATGGCTCAGTTAGTTACTAGATACATATGTATAGTTGTAGAACTGCTCTGTTATGTAGATTGTACCCAATCAGGCTATGGTATGTTAGTGTGGTACCACTTATGGAAAGACAAAGACACAAAAAATATATAAAAGGCAAAACCGTGCCATGCTCAGGGCTCAGTCTTTTGGGCATGAACCCAATAAGCCTTGCACCAGGATAAATAAAAACTACTTTTTGGAATAAGCCTCGATGTCCATCTGCTACATTTCTGAGAGGCCAGGATTTGGAGAGTCAGTCTTGTGTTTCCCCTCCTTTGTTGTGGGGGTGCAAACCTTCGTGTAATGGGGGATAAGAACTTGCCTGGCACCACTGGACCATTTGATCTGTAAGGAGATTGGCCCCTCCCAGAATGCTGGGGCAAAAACTCTGCACAATAAAACCGGTGATGCTTGGAAAATAGCACACAGAGCACTGCCTATCAGAGTGGTAGGAGCCTCTGTTCAGTCTGGTAAACCTGCCTCTGAGAGGCAAAAGGTATCACCTCCTAGGGTTAGGGTTACCTAAGGTTCACCGAAACTACAACTGCAATTCTAAGGTGTTGGGCCCTGGACACTGAGTGGCAAGATGGAGTCCCTGTGTTTGGGTATGAGTGAGACTGGCAGTGGCTAATAATTGCCTGAAATATCTCCGAAAGCAGAACTGCTGAAGACAGAAGAAATGTGTTCCTTCCTCTTCCCCAGCTTTACCTTTCTGTGCAGAGTCCAATAGAAGGAGATAAATGGAAAACAGAAAACAAAGTAAACCTAGTAAACCAACTCCCCAAGAGCATATGTTGAAGAATTTTCAAAATGGATATTCAATGATTACAGTGCTAAATTAACTCTGGATGTCTGAGTAACTGGCTGTTGTTTGTGGGGAAGGGATGGTGTCCAGAGGACTCACTTGATAAGGAAATAATCAGCCAAGCATGGGTCACTGTAGGGGATTCTAGCCTCCTTAACCAATATCCTTACACTGACTTTTGGCAAGACTTTGCTCTATTCTATCCACCTTGGATGAAAGCCTACATTGAGAATTGAGAAGTGATGATGGCCAGAGTAACAGCCACCTCCAAATGTCAGCCACAGTCAAATGTAAACTGGTCTCTGGTGAGCCAGAGGAGGTCCCACCTCCTCATGTGCCACTGTATCCACCACCGCCACTGCCACCTGCTACCCCTGTGGCAGATGACCCTGGTGGGCCTTAGCAGCTCAGTGCCTAGCCCAGCTTAGCCCAGAGGCAGCCTCTTCCTCAATATTATCTGAGGTTCACCAGTGATTCCTTCAATGGCAGTGTTCTAACTTCATATGTGCCTCTGGGCACTCACTGAGAGGACCTCTCCAGCTGCCTGACCCTCTGGCCCAGCCAAAGCACCATACAGATGCCACTTCAAGAGAAGCAGGGACCCCATACTCACCCCACTATGACCAACAGGGACAGAGCCAAGTAGGCAAACAAATGTTAATGTACCAACCCTTCATTCGAAGAATCACACCCCATCATGTACAGAGAAGCCTGGGGTGACATTTGACTTGATGCAATCTATTGTCCAGATCCACAGGCCCACGTGGCATGACTGCTGAAGACTCCTTCTGACCTTATTCAACAATAAGGAGCATCACCAGGTCACTCAGGCTGCCACATCCTGGTTGGAAGAAAATGCCCCAGACAGAACACTGGACCCCACACTTACACCTGTGAACATTTCTCAGAAAAAGACTCCTGATGGGACCCGAATGGAGAGGGGTCTCACCCAGATCAAATATACCAGAAGGCCAGAAGAAAGAGGGCCATGAACATGGGCAAGACATCAGAGGTACTCCAGAAACTCCAAGCCAATTCTACAAAGGTAGAATTATGTGGGGCATTCCGCTTGTATAAAATCCCACAAGTAGCTGAGAACCAACAGACAGTAACTATGGTGCCCATCTGCTAAGCTCAGGGAGATACAAGCTAAGAAGCAGGATAGTTTAACTAAAATGAACACAGCCAACTGTTGGGAAATTGCAAGATAAAAAGATGGACTTGCTGGTAGCTGTCTTGGTCAGCAAGGTTGGGACACCCCTATAAGGACACATTGAGGGGTAAGGATGGGACCAATGAGTTGGTTAACCTGGAAGCCAACAAAAAGGGGCACCCTGCCCACAAAGCTGGATTGGAACCAATGTGCCCACTGTCACAGGTCCACACACTGGAAGCATGAATGCCCTTACTAGATGGAGAAAGCTTCCCTTTCCCTGAACCAGAAAACAAAGTTCTGGCAGTCCA